AATTTTGTAATTTATTATTGTTTATTAAACTCTGAAAGATGTTTGGCTTTGTTAATATTCTGTCCTAGAATGCGGTGAGATGTGCCTTTTTTTTTTTGAGCACCTTCTCCTTTAGTGGTCTCTCCATGGCTCTGCAATAAATGAAATTTCTAGAAACACAGCCCGATCACACGGATTGATTTATCCACAGTGCTTACTGTGTGCTCCATTTAGCCAACTTTTCAACAACCATAACTGTCCAAACCAAAAAAAAGTCACTTTCATGCAATCATTGATGCATTCAATGAATGAAATACCTTTGTAGTTAGAATAAAGTGGTAAAAAAGGGGAACTGTTTTCACCAAAAATAATTCAAACTAAACACTAAAATCAACTTACCGAGCGAGCTGCACTCCCACTTAGGACTTCTTGACTGATTTTGAATGCATTGACGGTGGTATTGTCACGTACTTGGTTTCGTCTGATGTGATCTGCTTCTTTTATTTCTAGTTTAGTAGTTGTGGTTTTGGTTTCCTGCATGGCTATGTGACATTTTTTTATGTGTTTAAAAGACACATAGAACAGTTTACTTTTTTATTTGGTTGCATAAAAGTAAAGGAATTGTATTTAATAATGCTAAAAAAAAATTCTGTCTTTAATTTTCAACATTGTTGACAATTGCATCTGACCTGAGACACAGATAAGCAAATATCTGACAACCGTCAACGTAAGATATATCAATCTACTCAAAAAGTTCACTTATTCAATTAATGTAATCCAAAATTTGAAATGCAAACTTAAGTAGATTTATTACACACAGAGTGCTATATTCAAGTCTGTTCATTTTGATCATGGTGGGTCACAGCTTGTGTCCCTTTTGGTCTACACCACAAAAGTAACGTCTCTAATTTACTGTAAAAACAACATTGTTGACAATTGCAATGTAGCATTATGGTAAAATTCTGGCAACCACAGTTACTGTTTTTTTTTTGTTTTGTTTTTTTTTTACCATAAATTAGAGATGGTTTCTTTTTTAGACCAAAAGGAGACACTTTTTATGAACCTACTTACACGGTCTGAGATTCAAGCTGTAGCCCACAATGATCAAAATGAACCGACTTGAAATATAGCACTCTGTGTGTATTAAATCTATGTAATTTCGCCATTTCAAATTTTGGATTACATGAACTGAATAAATGAACTATTTGATTACATTGCATTTACTGTTAGGCTCACACATCAAGCGGTAACACTCAAACAGCAAAAAGAATATTATGAGGTCAGTAGGGTTATGGCCGCTTGTGTACTAAACCCTTGCGGGTGCAAAAAGGCTTTTGTGTTGTTGCTTTTATTGGTGTCATCGGTTGCATTTACGTCACCAGAGAACATGCAGGAAGAAACTATGCAGTGGAAAATGGTGATAAATGGTTAGCAATGGTTAGCCTTTACCTATGTCAGTTGGTTTTCACAGCATATTAAACCAAATGTTCTTCACAAGCACACAATAGCAAATGAACAAATAATAGGTGCAGCTTGATTGAAACCCAACCCAGGAAGCTTTTTTAAAACAATCAATGCAAGATTTAAAAAAAATAAAATAAAAAATACACTTGCAAACTGAGCCGTACTCCCTGTTGCCAACTTGTCTGACTTTGCAAATAGTAATGGTATTCCATTATCATTCTTTCAAAAAGCAAGTCTTATCTGCATGACTTCGCTGCTTTTTACGGTTAGCTGCATGTGTGGGTTTTGAGTTTCCTGTGTGATATGTTTCTGTTTCAGCTCATGAAGCTTGAAGCAGAACCCGATCTTCAATCTCAAGATTCTTAAAATAGAACTAAACATTCAGATGAAACAAGGAAGTTTATTTATTTTGTTGCCTAAAAACAAAGGAAGCAAATGTAAAAATGGAGAAAACTTAGTTATCCTTGTGAAAAGTATTTTACTTTCATTGTTGCCAACATCTGAGCTGACATACAGGACTTATCAGTAAACTGAAATATTACAACATTCATTCATTTCAGCACTTGAAATACAGCACAACATACAGCTTCCCATATCTGTTTATGCAGTTAGAAACTATAAAACAAGTTGAACTCAAAATAGCTGAGGAAATGATCAGAAGAAGTGGGTATGTGGTGAAAGGTGGGCGTCCCTGAAAGCGGAGCTCGAAATGATGCTCTGCTATCTGCTACGTCTTTTGATTTGATTTACCTTTGAGATCAATAAAGTATTTTGGAATTTTAATGAACATTGGGCCGGCTCTGACAGCAGGGAAAGATAAACCCTGCAATGTAACAACAGAATGGGACTCAGTCAGAACTAAACGCCTTGCCCGTCTGCCTTAACTTTCTTAGCCTTTGACCCGACAGCTCTAAGGTGTCACCGAGCGTAAAACGTCTTTAATAAAAAATAGTAGCTGATGGAATCAAAGCAGCAGTTTGTGGAGGCGATCCACTCAGACACTTGTAGAAACTTATGACTTGGTAGATAAACGTCCCTCCAGTTTTCTGGAACCTTGTAGAGCAAACTTACCACATGCGCAATGTGAATTGGTGTGTAGCAGACAAGAAACACAATCATGTTTGCTTTTATTATTCCCACAATACTTTTCCTTTCCTCTGACTTGTTTAGTTCTTTCCCCAAAATACGGATGATCTGACTGGAACAGAACACAATTATCAGCAGAGGAGCCAGGTAGCCGAGAGACAACAGGATCGAGGTGAATTCTGGACTGATTCTGTTATTTTTACATCTTTCATAGCATGACCAGAGTTTTTCAGGAAGGTTAACCTTGTGAAAAACAACAACAACTGAAATCAGAAACACCCAGATGAGCAAGCAGACGGCGACAGCTGCCTCCTTCCTCCTCTTCCATGATCTGGCCTGCAGCGGGAACCTGATGGTCAGGTAGCGGTGGAGGCTGACGGCTGACGTGGTCAGGATGCTGGCGTACATGTTGGTGAAGTGAATAAAAATTAGGAAAGTGCAGAGCCAAGTCTTGGGCAGGCAGAAAAAGGCGTCGTAAATCCTGAAGGGAAGGAAAAGGACCAGGAGAAAGTCAGCCAGAGCCAAGTTCAGCATGTAGATGTGGGTGTCGGTCCAGGAGGCCCGCTTTGCGACGAAGGCCCACAGAGCAGCGCCGTTGATGACAAGACCGAGGAGAAACACAAGACTGTAACCCAAACCCTCCAGGACGCTGCTGACGCATAGATCGGTGGTGTTGCTGGTTGCAGTAGTGGTTATGTTGTCATTGGAGCTCATTTTGAACTTCATCCGCAAGAAGCCACCTTGTATAAAATAATCAAAAAACCGTTAGCGTGATCTTTGTTTGATAGATGATCGCCCAAAGAAAAATCCCTCCACAATCACACATTCAACTCATTGACACTCAACAAAGTTTGAAGAAGATGAAGCTAAAATTAACTGGTATAAAACATGAGTATTGATCCTTTGGTCAAAATCATACAAGACAAAAGGTAATGGGCAACTTACCACAGGTGTTGCTCCCGTGACTACAAGCGTTTCTGACTGTTTGAAGATTTTTCATCAGGATGTCTGACATGAGTTATCAACCCGCCTGCTTACAAAGAGTGCGGTTTTTGCCTTCCTGTTTTGTTAAATACGGCGTTTCAAGTCACACATGCTCATTATTCTTCAAGACCTTTTAAGCTGAGTTCTAAAATACCAGGAAAACAAGAAATTAGTTTATGCTGAGAAAAGTTCATCAGCATAACCAATACTAAGAACTAAATCTGACTCAAGAGGAACATGCAGACATCGATTTCAAAACCCTCTTAAAAGGAACATCTCACTTCATTAGAACAAAACTGGAAAGTTAATCTATTAGTTTAAGGCAACAATTTAAAAAAAAAATGTTATGCAGATTTATTGCACACAGAGTGTCAAGTCTCATCTCATGCAAGACAGGTTCAGAACTTGTTTGTGAATAGAAAGGGCCCCCTGCTGGCCTGGGTACGCCAAGTGTAGTTCAGACAGTGAGAGTTGAGAAATTAACCATTGTGCTCAAGGTCTCATATAACCTTGGGTCAGCTCCCCCAGCATTTTAAAGGACATTCAATGAGTAAAAGACTGAGAAAAAAAAATCAAGGTAGTTAGTTGTCAGCTGTCCCCTAAATAAATTTCAATTACTTTTATGCATGTGAAGTCAATGGGGAGTTAGCATCCACTTTCGTAGACTAGGCGTCTCCTGCTTGCTACTGAGAACAGCAACTCCAGTTTACGTGTTCTGTGGGAGACTGGACCGCACTTTATGCCAACCCAGAATCTCATTTTGTCATGGTTTGGAGGCAGCACAAGGAGGGGCTTGACTAAATCAGCAATCATGCGAGAACTGCCACTGGGGCAATGTGTCCCAGCTGGATTTCCTCCTGTTTTTCCCAAAAAAAAAAAAAAAAAAAAAAGCCTCTTGGTATACACAATATCTGTCATGAGGTTGGGTTTGAAGTGGTGAGGTAGATGCGGTAGGACCCAGGTTATGATGCAAATGATGGTTTTTAAATGGACACAAAATCCAGGCAGCACAGAAGAGCAGTGGCAGAAGCTCCGACTCTGGTAGCAACGGGTAAATAATTAACGACAACAGACAAATGTCAGTAGACGAGGACCTGACAGGGAGCAAGACACACAGGTGGGTATAAAGACTGGGGAAGATAATCAGGGGAAAAGAGGGACAGCTGGGGACAATCAAGGGGAGACGGGAACAACAGGGATGCTCAACTGAAAAAACACAGAAACCTAAATTAACACCAGATCCTCACAATATCAGAGGTGTTAAAAGATCATTGGATAATTTAAAGTTTCTTTCTGGAAACATGAGAGGTTTCAGTATTGCCCTCTTGCTTACAGCAATGGGTTTCTCTGATGCACACAATTCCAATGAGTGACTGAGAACAGAGAGTAGAAAGTGCAAACATTCACTGACATCGCGAAATAATCAACCTTTTGGAAAACTTTAGAGATTCCTCTCCACATCGACAGAGTACTTGGCTTCAATTTTAATCTCAACCGAAAATGGTTTAAACAAAAAAAAGAAAGAAAGAAAGAAAAAAGATTTTCCTGCACATTACAGATGTCTGGTATTTTTCTAGTGTTTAAACATGAAAACTTTTAATTGGTTTGGAAAACTGTACTATTGCCTTTGTGGTTTTCTGTTGAACGTTTGGAGTTTGGATCTGCCTCAGACTCCAGCTTGTCCTGAAAGACCGAAGTTGAAACTTCATCCAGTCGGGTGGAGGGGGGGAAAGAGAGTGAACAACCAAAGGCTTTGTAAAAACAACAAGGAAAAAGGGGGGGCTGTCTGAAAATGTAATCTGGAGAAGAAACCTTTTGGACGAGCCAAATGGAACCAGTGACAAAATACATGACCCAAAAACATATGACGGGGCTGAAAGGTTTGGAGAATAAAGTCACCTTTTTATTGGCTCAGTCTATTTAAGGCAAGGCGGCCCGGTTATAGGAAAGTTTTAGAGTGCACTCTGAAGAAAAAAAAAAATAAATAAATAATTCGCTGAATGAGTTTAATGCTTTTCATCAAGGGAATGAATGGCTGGAAACAGGAAGATCAAACCACCATCCTGTAGGAAACAATAACAAAGCCTCACATTTCTTCACATTAAAACTACAAACAGTGCATAATTAGAAAGAAGAAGAAAAATTATGCATTCTGAAAAGTGTGACGTGCATATTTTTCTCTTTTTTTTTCATTTCTCCTTTTTTTGTGACTTGCACTTATGTTTAGCTACCCCTGAGCCAGAACTTTGTAGAGCTACCTTTCACTGCTGTTATTTGTGGGATGCCTGTACCAGTGGTGGGAATTACTTTCTTACTTTACTTAAGTACATTTTTTGAGTACTTTCTCCACCACTGGCCTGTACCAGCTTCGCCCAGCCAGAGATTGACGTTATTGTCCATTATTCTTTGGAAAATAGCTCAAGCTCAGTCATGTTAGACTGAGAGCCACTGTAAGTGGCAGTTTTAAATTCGTGCAAAAAGTACATTTAGGTCTAAGACACTCAAACAAATAAACTTTTCTTAATCTAATCCATTCCTCTGGAGCGCTAGCTGCATTTTTAGGGTTGTTGTGGTGGTGGAAAGCAAGCCTCTGCTGATTCTCAACTTCTTTTTCTTTTTTCAGATTTTGTCCCTGAATTTAACTCAATACTAACAAAATTATAACAACATTTTACCATGTTTCACCAGCGGCATGGCATTTTTACTGTGGTAGCATTCCACCACCAATAGCATTTTGAATGTAGACCAAAAAGTTTCACTTTAGTCTGAGCTTCTAGGTTTTCACCGTGACCTCTAGATTGCATAAATATGGCGAACTGAGCTAGGCTTTGACCGATAAATGCCCTGTTATTCTCCCACCAGAGCTATGCATCTCCACTGCTCCTCCAGAGTTGCCAGTTCGGATCTTCTCCAGGTCCAGCCTGTCAGTTTAGGTTGCACAGATAATGGACTGAGCAGAGCTCTGTGCACTCTACTGTGTTGTTCTGTCACAAATATCCAATCCCAGTTAGATGCGTTGAAGTTTGTGCTTGCAATGAGAGAAAATGTGAGAGAAAAATTCTAGAGCTCGGCAAGTACTAAGATAAAAATGGCCAAACTTGCTTCCTGCAGGACATTTGTAATCCGTTTGGTGTATTTACTCGTTAAGGTAGGACGGATTGTTGGTCAGAACACCTGTTTGGCTGGCGTTTGCTTTGAATCAACCCTGAAACCACCATATTTGCAGAAAGCAGAGTTGGGGAAAAAGCCCGGGAGATGTTAGATTAAATCCTGTTTATTAGTCTGCATTTGGCAGTTATTATGTCCCGGTGTTATTAAAAGCAACCCTCATGCCTCACAGATATTGTTCTGTGGAAATAAAAGCAAAAACAACCCAATATCGCACAGGATATGAGGCGGCTCAATATTTTTAGATGCAGTATGTTGTTGTAATTAATTTGTTTGAAATCCGTTTAGGCCCATCTGGTTTTCCCTGAGATAGTCCCCAGACCTGGTACATTAGTTTCAGTGGATTTCTGTCTCCATCTTCCATGTGATCCCGTCGTTGTCGTCATGCATTCACTTTTATCTGTCTGGTAATGTTTGAAAGTGCCCTTTACACGTCAGTGACAAGGCCAGGAGGAGGAGGAGGAAGAGGAGGAGAGGGCGGGGGTTTTCCATTTAGCTCTAACTAGGTCAGTGAGGACACACCCCTCCCTGTCTTCCCTCCTGGCTTGGCTGGCTGCACCCCTGCTTCCCAACCCATCCTGTCTCTTCCCTCTCTCTCTCTCTCTTTTTGATCTGTTACCCGCTGTGACGCAATGCAGTTTTTTTTTTTGCACACCTTCTGAGTAAGACAACCATGGCGCAGTCGTCCATTTCACCGAGACCCATGTCCTCCAAATGAGCCCAGAAAACAACTCGCAGCTTGTCAACTCAGATGACTCAGCAACAACATGTTAGATCTATTTATCTGCCTCAGCTCCGGCCTTTAACACCAGATTTTTTTTTTTTTTTTTTTTTTTTTTTGCGATTGCATAACGCCCACCACATTACATAATGTTTGTGGGGGTCGTCAATCTGTTGTTGAGGTTCTTCAGCCTTTGGAAGAAGTCATGCTGCTCACAGCCTCCAGAAAGTGTGACTTGTTTCGAAGACCTTCACCTATGGAAACGTCTTGAGGATAAGGCACATTTTCTACGCTGTGTTGTCTGATATGATATGGAACAGCCTCATAACACTTTTTGACTTATGACTTATCATGTGTCCTGGCAGTTCCGTGACAATATGGGCCGAGAACCATGGCTAAAGGTGCCTAAAGTGCAAATTCCAAGCATTACATAAGCTTGGAGTGTTATACTGCCAATCCAACACTGGATGTCTCTGTTTCTGCGGTCCGATCCGGGATGAGTGAGTCATGTGGAGGGGTTACGTATGAACCGAGCTGCCAGATCTCACGCATCCCTGATCCTGATTCTCCGCTGTGCTGTTTATCTCTGCAAGCAAACAATCTGAGGTGGCATGCTGGCTGCTGTTGTGTTGAAACGCTCTTAAAGTGGGGCAACAAATAATCAATCCGCACAAATCGCACACGTAGAACGAGCCCTCTGATTGAAGCATGAATAGGAAATACACACCTCCCGGTAATTCAGTTCAAAAAGCAAAACTCTAATTATATATATAGGTTCACTGGAGCCACTGTGATTTATTTTAAGGATCTGTTTGATGATTGTGGCCTACAGCTGTAATCACTGTAAATCACGACGGAGGCTGATTTGATGGTAGCTGCCTCTTCGATGGCCTTTAACAGCTTCCACATAAAAGTAGGTAAGTAAACAAATCTACTTGTGCAGATTTCAAGAAAGTGCAGAAAAAAAGAATAAAACAAGCCTTTTAATATCAGTAAATAAAGATAGTCACGCAAAAGCCTATGTTTCTGGGCAGAGTGCGAATCCTGAAAAGGCTCCGTTACCCTCTGTTGACATCAGGGACGGCAAAGGATTAGAAAGTTCTGAGCTGTGGAGAAATTAAGATGTACCAGCAGCAAAGTAACAGGCAAATGGAAGCAAAAAATAAGAGTAAGTGACTGTACAGTAAGGGCAAATTTACAGAAGGTAAATTTGCACTGAAGATGGTCTCCGGTTCTGCAACGAGGCGTGAGAAATTGTCCAACAGTGATGTTATTTTTGCTTAACTTCTGACTCCCATCACTGGGTCAAGAGGGCATCTTAGGTCAGAGCCAGGCTCTCTGATGAGCTTATCCAAAAGCTTCCTCTCAGCACAGCTTCTGCTTCCGCATATGCTACGCCATAAAAGATGGGGCTCACACCACCGCAGAGACAAAACAGACCTTCAAGGAGTGCCACCTGGAATAGAAAGCAGATTTCCATAACTGCATCCAAATTAAAAGAAGGTCGTTGCTAAAGAAGCCGGATGTTCACACAATGCTGTATAAAATCCATATGAATGGAGAGTTGAGTGGAAGGAAAAAATGTGGTAGAAAAAACTTCCATAAATAATATGGAAAACTGCAACATGGGGAACATCTGAACCACAGACAAAGTCAGAAGCATCTAACCTGGGCTGACGGGGAAAAGAACTTCACTGTTACACAATGGACCAAAGTCCTATTCAGAAATGAACGTAAATGGGGCATTTTATTGGGAAATTAAAATCTCAAACTCCAAAGGGAAGATGCAGAGGCCCAGAATCCAGGCTTCTAGAGTTACATGGGATGTTTCCACAGTCAGTAATGAATTGGCGATCCGTGTCCTCTACCGGTGTTTAGCAATTCCGAACCCAGGAAATTTCCACATGCTTCCCTCTACTGGCAAGCTTCATGGAGAAGATGATTTAATATTTTTTATTGTTTTTTGAGGAAGTCCTTTATTAGACTCAAACAGGAATGCAAGATCAGTCAGGGTATGGGTGGATAAAAAAAACCATTCAACCGAGACAAAGAGCAAATGAAAGCCTTGCTGTATGGCTCAGCAGCAAAATTAGGTCACCGGGTCAAAAAAAGAAGAAAATAAGACCACATGATACAGGAATAATCATGTCTGATGAAAAAAAGCAGCAACAATAACAACAACAACAACAACAACAAACAGCAGGACACTGGAGTAGCTCGTCTCTTCTTTTTCCAACGTGGTTCGCTTCAGCTCCGGGCACAAACATGGAGTCAGTGGCGGCGTGTTTTTCCATGTGCGGTTCCATGTGAGCGCGATGCCAGCGTGTGCGCGTTCACACTCGCCTGGGCGTATACCTTATATCTAGGTCAGGCTCACATGGCACAGCACATTGAGTCACACCGGAGATAAACACAGCCTAGTTGCCATGGAGACCTGGCTTCCTGCACACCACGTCTTTGCATGGCATACATTTGTATTTGCATCAGCTCCCTGCATTTTGGAGCGGGCGGGGAGCAGCGGGCGCAGTGATTTCAGGCTCAGCTTTGCACTGAAGGCAAACAGGGATTGACAAATTAATTATGAGATTAATCAATCATGACAATCTTTTGTTAGCTTGAGTCCGGGAGTGCGTCAGCGGCACTAATTCCTCCCTCCGTTTGAGCATGATCGGGCGTGGATGTTTAAACTGCTCTGTGAGAAACAAAGAGGAGAGGTGTCGGACAGAATGAGGGAGACATTTGTTACCGATTATGTACTTCAGGACAAGTCCAGGCATCCTGGGAGACAATTATCCTCTGCTGTAATTCAATGCATTTCATTGTGTGTGTCTGCGTGTGTGTGTGTGTGTGTGTGTGTGTGTGTGTCTTAGCAAGCTGTTTACATAATCAAATAACCGAAAAAGTTTTTCCATGAAAGCTCATCTGGGAATGGCAACACACGAGAACAAATTTCATAATTGAAGTTCGGAGATTTTGGCCAGGAGTGGCAGGGCCGTGCAGAGACCACGAAAGGGGCAGGTGCTCAAAAACAAAATAAAAAAAAAAAAAGGGCACATCTTA